ATAAATGTGGATGTACCTACGATGGGAGACTGAAACTATATCTTACATAAATGTGGATGTACCTACGATGGGAGACTGAAACTATATCTCTACTGGGGAACCTTATGCCATATTAGCAATCTTATTTAACTTTATTATGAACACCAATTCGTAACTTTCATATTTAACATTTATAATTCGGTGTTTGAGCTATAGGTTTCATATCCCACACTTCATTTTTAGTGATAAATGGAATTGCTTATTTCCATTTTTTGGCCAATCACTTAACTTGTCGACATTCATGAAGCATGATTTAATATAATCATAGCCCTTGATGATTGTAGTAGCTACTAATAAACCAAATGTATCATCAATTTGTGATCTTACAATTCTCACGTGCATGTGCATGCATAATTTATAAGCATCTCATTGGTTTAGGGTATCAATGCCTCTTTAGGGGCTTACACTGTCATTTATGGGATAAACAACTCTGAAGATGTATTCTTTGGAGAATGTGGATCATAACCTCCTATATAGCAATATTTCCAATAGGGATGGAAATTTTCAAATTATCTCCACTTATGGGGAGTTAAGTCTTTAAACTTACAAATCCGTCATGTTTCAGACATGCAACAAATGATTAATTAATAGTCACTTATTGCCATGTTGATAGATTGTGATACAGAAATACCAATCTATGCTTGCATATGTATAACCTATGTATACATTATCTTGATGAGACAAAAGGAGATGTATTCAAAGTTAATTCATGACGTGTGAGAAAATTGTCATATCAATAGTCATCAAAATTTAGGAAAATAAATTCACTATCATTATAGAGTCAAATGGACTTAATTGGATAATATGGGAGTTGTGCTCGTAATTTTCTTGACAAGACACAAATATGTGACCATTTGTTAGGTGCATCGAGTAAAACTAGTGAAATACTCCATAATTAAATGTTTATAAGTTCACAAATATCCCCTTGATTTATTTAAAGAAAGAAGGCTCAAAGTAAATTTTTTGACAAAGATGGTCTTGTGATAGATTTTCTTTGCGAGCATGCTTTGCAAAGATGTTCGTTGGACAAGAAAATATTTTGAGTCTTTAAATAATGTCCTTACGAATTTATAAAATCTTATGCATCATTATAGACCATGGATTGCCAAACAGTCATGGCACAACATAAAAGTTATCGCGTCAATGAACTTTTGGTTCATGACATCATAATCTTCAACTACTTTAATGGTTATGTAATACAACCTACAAAATAAAGTAGGAAGTTTCTCCAATAGACACATTTGGCTTTTAATATTGGGGTGATATTACAAAACATTACCTTTGTAAAACAAAATTAACTAATAACCATATCATATCCATGATTTCGAAGAGATTGGAGATGTTTTGGCAATTCAATGTAGTTAGCTTTACCTTAAACTCGTAGAACTCCCTATTACTACAAATAAGAAGTTGACACATGTAATTTATATATATATATATATACACACCATAGTTCACACAGGAATCGCCAATATAGGCAATTTGGGTACTGTAACTATGTCCATAACTCATCGGCTCAATTCTGAATACCACACCACACTGACTTCCCGGTCAACGACGATTTACTGCTTGCAAAACTTGGCTGGTAACTAGCAATTTGCTATTTTTTTGGTTGAACCCCACATGCCTAGTTAGCTTAAGTTGGGTAATGCCTAAGGACTCCAAAGGTATTACAAAAATAAGAACAAATAAGTTCTGTCACTAAAAGCAATCTCTCACAGTCTAAACTATTCTCAATAAAGAATATTAACCACACCTAAAGCTCATTCTTTCAAACTTAAAATTCTCTACACTCTCTTAACTAAGTCTAATTCAATCTTAACAAGAGATATCAAGCAGTAAATAAGGCTAAAAACGATGCATTAGGATGAATGAATTTAAGAGTACTAATAATTTTTTTTTTAAAAAAAATGGAATTCATATTGATGAGATTTAAAGTTCTAGAATTTGTGAAGTTTATTCTTCGCTTAACCCAAAATTATAATGGGATTTAAAGATTGAATTTAGGCCCGGTTTGGTTCGCGGAAAAGATTTAATGGGAAATAATTTCCCATGTTTTGGGGACAAAATAGTCATGAAAAGTGTGCATTTAATGCTGGCTCGTTTTCCCATACCTTCCTATGGGAATGGAAAATGAAACCCAAAGGGGGAAGATGGTTACATTTCCCCCTGTATTTTCCCATGCACCAGGCGAGCATTTCACATGCATGGACTTACCAAAAATGGGAAATCAATTAATTTCTCAACGTCAAGCCTCCTTTCCCATGAACCAAACGTTGCCTATAGGTGATGCAATGAATCTAGTTGCTTGGTAAGGTGATTGTGAGGTGGAAGCGGAGTTGGTGGCAATGGCATCGGTGGTGGGGTTAGTATTGTAAATGGCAAGGGCAATGTGATGATAATACATGTGGTAAAGTCAAGGACTAAAATATCGATAATATCACGAAATATAGAGGATATTACTGTTTTTTCGGGTCTATGATATTTTAGAACATATCCATACACTGTACACATATTGTAACATCGGAAAATATCGATGCCTATAATTTCTCTTACACTTTAGCAACATTTGGCCAAAATATATCGATAATATCGATAATATTGAAATGATGAAGAAAATGAAAATTTTGAATAGTTATTTACACTAACACCCCCCGTAAGGTTTCTTGTGTTTTCATAAAACCTCATCAGGTCTCAAAAATTACACGAACATCCCCTGAGGTTTTAGTTTGTTTTCACAAAACCCCTTTTCGTTGATTTGTTTAGGGGTGGTTGCGGTTCGGTAACCGCGAATTTTTACTCAAACCACAAACCGATCGACTATTTGCGGTTTGATGATTTTTGAAACCGCAAACCGACCGCGTTTTGCGGTTTACGCGGTAAACCGCAAAATGCGGTCGATTACCGCGAATTAGTGGTTCAAAACCGCAAATTCTCAAACATTCATAAAAATATAAATTCATAACCTAAATAAATAAATACACAACCTCAATTTCTCAAACATATATAAATTCACAATCTCCTCAACTTCTTAAGCCTTCACAACCTAAGAAAATTAAAGTTACAATTCCAAGCATTCCAATTAAAGTTAAACTTCTCAAGCATTCCAAATCCAAATCCTTTAAAGTTATAAACCAAACGGAAAATGCAAAGAAAAATGAATTAAAATTACAACAAAAAAGAAAAATTCAATTCAAAGTTAATTAAAGTTACAAACTAAAAGGAAAATGCAATGCACCAATGTTACAAACTCAAGTGTTGGTGGTGAGTG